GTCTTTCTGGACAAAGCCATGGTGGCAGGGCCATGGCAGAGGCTATTAGGGGCAATCAGGCCAGGAGGGGAGGGCAGTTGGGCTTGTAGAGGAGCAGGCCAGCAGGGGCAGTTAGGGGCGAGCAGGCCAGTGGGGAGGGAAGGAGGGTTGAGCAGGCCAGCGGGGGTGGGGGGCAGTTAGGGGTGTGCAGTCCAGGAGTTGGGGGTGAGCACACTGGCACGAGGGGCAGTTGAGGGTGATCAGGCTGGCAGGGGAGCATTTGGGGATGAGCAGGCTGGCAGCAGGGGGCAGTGAGGGAGAGCAGGCTGGCAGGCAGAGTGGTTAGGGGCAATCAGGCAGGCAGGCAGGCAGGTGAGTGGTTAGGAGCTAGCAGTCCCAGATTGTGAGAAGCTGTCCGACTGCTGGTTTAGGCCCGATCCCTGTAAACCAGCAGTAGGACATCCTTTGAGGGGTCCCAGATTGGAGAGGGTGCAGGCCGGGCTGAGGGACACCCCCCCCGCCCATGCACAAATTTCGTTCACCGGCCACTAGTTTTTATATATTGTTAAGTGATTGCCACAAATAAATGTAGTTAACATCCACCACCTCATGCAGTTACAATTTTTTTCCTTGTGATGAGAAATTTTAAGATTTACTCTGAGCAACTTTCAAGTACACAATTTAGTATTGTCAGCTATAGTCACTACAGATGTCTTTTAAGCTAAGTTTCTTGCCGCATATATAGTTCAGTTGATAATTTTTGAAGAACTCTTACTTCAGCCTACCATCTATTTCAGTCTTTTGTTTTAATGATTAGGACAAGGTATAATTTAATATATAATAAGGCATTCTGTTCTAAAATTTTGACAGATTTGATTACTTATTACAGAAATACAGAGCTAATAGAGACTTACTTGGGAGCCATCCCTTGGAATATTGAAATTAGTATAGTTTTCGGCTTGTCTCCCCCTCAAAAATGGATAAAAATTACATAAACGAGATCTACTTGATTGTTAAAACTGCCGCATCCATGCAACAGAGTCTGTGTTTCCAATACCATGCCTGCTATAAATTTCCTAAACTTTCCAGGATCGTCCAAAATTGCAATAGTGATTTCCTGCATGTTAATTCAGTACCTGTTGTATATTAGAACACTTTGCTTCAGTGCTTTACTCACTGTGGGTGTTACCTATTTGCTTTATAAATCATGAAGATGGGCAAAATCCTGTTTCATTAAAGGACAATAGATCAGTGTTGTTGAGGTGTGTCATTAAGCACGTGGGCGAGGCCTCCACTATATATGTCACACATGGAAAGACTATACCCGGTACTGGGTGCGGTGGGGAGCATGACGTTTGAATGAAAGTTAAAAGAGTCATTAAGAATCCTATATCTAGATCTTGTGTTCTAACTGTATATTACACTTATGTGTCTATGAAACTCATGCAGCACAGGGTGTGCCTCTCTCCTTCCGCCCCACCCTGAGGGGAGTGTGTTCACAGGTGCATGTGTGTGTGTGTGTGTGTGTGAGGAGAGAGAGAGAGAGAGAGAGAGAGAGAGAGAGAGAGAGAGAGAGAGGTTGAGAAGGATATCATGGACAACTGCCGAAGGCACATGCTCTCTCAGCACAAATGAATTAGGCATGAATATTTTCATTGATAGATTTGAATGAAAACAGCTGCTGAGTCAACCA